GCCCGGCGCTGCCTCGGTTGGAGGATCCCGGCCCGGGGGCGGAAGAGGAGAGGGCGGAGGGAAGGGTCTTTGCGGGGTAACGGAGGGGGCCTGCTGGCCGGTGGGGTCGGACCGGAGGGGCTGCGGCTCAGTGGGAAGGACCTGCCCCCAGGGCAGAGCGTCTGGTTCTGCCTGAGCTCCGGGACAGACGGCGGGGATGGCCCCGAAGACAGAGGATCGCCTGTCTCCGAGCCTGTGGGTCACCGGGGCCCCGCACCCTGCCTGGCCCGGAGGACGGGGCCGTCCCCAGCCCCGCCCCAGCCTGGCGGGAGCCTCCTTCCCAGTGCGGCCTGCGGAGTGTGGCGGCGCACAAAGGCAGAGACCCTGCACCGTCGCTGCTGTTCTGCTGTGGCCGGCGCCTGCCCGTGTCGGGGGCGCGGGGGGCTGCGCGGTACGGGTTTGACTGGCGCCCGGAGAGGCAGGGTCCCGTTTTATGTCCTGGCGGGGGGAGAGGCGTGCGTGGCAGGTCCTCCGCCCGATGCCCGGGAGCAGGCAGACGCGGTGTCTTAGTTCCTCATAACGTGTGTCCCGGTGTTCATGCCGTGTGTCATCTGTGGATGTCAGCCTCCTTGGCTAGAACGTCAGCGTCGTCACGGTGGGTACTGAGCCTGTCTTGTTCACGGTGCCTGGCACATGGCAAGGGGCTCAGTAAATATCTGTTGACTAATACCTGTTGTATGTGACCCCTGGGCTGGTCTTTTGGGGAAAAACACGAGTGAAAGACTTAACGCTTGGGGTGGGGGTGGGTATGGGTGTGGGTGGGGAGATACCTATATTGCTGTGAAAACCAGTATATGTTCGCTAATTTAAAAACGGTAATTATCAGTACAAGGAACACTTGTTGAATGTCAGCTGCAGACTCGCAGAAGGGGGAGTGTGGTGTGGCCTGAGTAGTCTGTCTGTCTGAGTATCTTTGAGGTGATACTTGACCTGGTGGTGGAGTTGGGATTGAATGTGTGCCTGGGGTGGGTGGTGTCTTTGGCTTTTCCCAGGCCAGAGACGGGGTGTGGACAGAGGAAACATCTGACAGAAAAAGCCTTTCAGCTGTGGCCTTGTCTGTGCGGAAACAAAAAGGCTGTTGCACCTAACCCCACCGCCGTGCTTGGAGACCTGATGGTGTGTTCTTCCAGCTGCGTTATCTGAGTATTAGTTTGCTAAGGCTGCCATAACAAAATGCCACCGATTGGGGGGCTTAAACCATGGACATTTATTTTCTCACCGTTCTGGAGGTCAGAAGTCTAAGATCAAGGTGTGAACAGGTTTATGTTCTTTTTTTTTTTTTTTTAAATATATTTTATTGATTTTTTTACAGAGAGGAAGGGAGAGAGAGAGAGAGAGTTAGAAACATCGATGAGAGAGAAACATCGATCAGCCGCCTCCTGCACATCTCTTACTGGGGATGTGCCCGCAACCCAGGTACATGCCCTTGACCAGAATCGAACCTGGGACCTTTGAGTCCGCAGGCCGACGCTCTATCCACTGAGCCAAACCGGTTTCGGCCAGGTTTATGTTCTTGTGAGGCCTGTCTCTTGCTTAGCGACGGCAGCCTTCTTGCTGTGTCCTCAGAGGGATTTTTCTCTGTGCAAGAGCATCCCTATGTTTCTTATAAGAACACCAGTCATATTAGTGTCGGGCCACATGGTTATGACCTCATTTAACCTTCATTGTCTTTGAAAAGCCCTGTCTCCAAGTATAGTTCCATTCTGAGCTCCTGGCGGTTAGGGCTTCAACAAATGAATTTTAGGGGAACACAAGTCAGTCTCTTATTATTTCTTTTCTTAGCCATCCCAGGGACTGTTTACCTCCTTGGAGTTGTGTGTGTGTGTGTGTGTGTGTGTGTGTGTGTGTGTTTTGCCTGAAGGCAAATAGTGCTGTATTAGGTTGTATTAAAATTTCATTTTGCTTTGCTTTATCATGGATTTAGGGCCTCCTGTTGCATTACAAAAATTTGGTATTGTAATTTGAATTCCATAATGCCAGCGTCTGACTTTCTGTTCAGCAGCCTGTAACCCGGGTCATGGGACAGCCATGAGAACTCAGGGCTAATGGAGAAATCCTGTGCATACGCCCTCCACGTCACCCTGTGCAAACGCCCTCCACATCACCCTGTGCAAGCATTTGATCTTTCCTAGGTAGGGACTCATAGAGTCTTATATTCATTTATTATAAAATATATGCACACCTTTTCTGGGCCGGCATAGATTCAGATGCAGGGGAAATAGCAGTGAGCAAAATAAAGTTCCTACCTTCATGGAGTTTACTTTTTAGGTGGTAGACAGTAAACACATAAACATATATAATGTTATGTCAGGCAGTGCTGTGAAGAAAAAGAAAGCAAGAAAAAGTGATGGGGATACTATGTTAGATAGGGTCATACAGTTAGCCTCTTGCCAGGTAAGCTCTGAGCAGGTTCATCATACTTATATTTATATGTATATGTATATGTATGTGTATGTGTGTGTGTGTGTGTGTGTGTATATATATATATATATATATTTTTTTTTTAGAGGCCCGGTGCACGAACTTTGTGCACTGGATGGGGGGGGGGGTCCCCTCAGCCCGGCCTGCGCCCTCTCGCAGTCCGGGACCCCTTGCTCCTTACTGCCCTCCTGCTCGCTGCTCCTTACCACTCAGGTCACTGCTCCTTAGGGCTGCTGCTGCCTTGGAGGCGGGAGAGGCTCCTGCCACTGCCGCTGCACTTGTCAGCCTTGAGCCCGGCTTCTGGCTGAGCGGTGCTCCCTCTGTAGGAGCACACTGACCACCAGGGGGCAGCTCCTGCATTGAGTGTCTGCTCCTGTTGGTCAGTGCGCATCGTGGCAACCGGTCTTTCTGCCCTTTGGTCAATTTGCATATTAGGCTTTTATTATATAGGATGTATATATGTATGTGTGTGTGTGTGTGTGTGTGTGTGTGTGTGTGTGTATAATTTTTTTTTCTTTATGCTTAGAGACAAAGTTGCCTACCCAGCTATGTGACTATGGGAAATTTCTTAATCTCTCTGAGCCTTAGTTTCTTCATCTGTACAATGAGAATGACAATGCCCATCTCCTCTGTTGTGAGAGTTAAAGGTGATTGCCCAGCACAGGGAGAAGCACTCAGTAATCGGTAGCTAATTTGCCCCTGAGGGCCTCTGGGACCTGTGTCCCTGCCATGGCTTGCTTTTCCAGCATGGAGTCCTTGCACCCCAGGATGACTGGGGAAGAGATCACATGGGGCAGGAGTTTGTTTTTATGTATGTATGTATGTTTTGTAGTTTTATTTTTTAAAAACAGATTTTTATTGATTTCAGAGAGGAAGGGAGAGAGAGAGAGAAACATCAATGATGAGAGAACCATCAATGGGCTGCCTCCTGCATACCCCCTACTGGGGATCTTGCCCGCAACCCCGGCATGTGCCCTTGACCAGAATCGAACCCGGGACTCTCCAGTCTGCAGGCCGACATTCTATCCACTGAGCCAAACCGGCTAGTTGTTTTAAATCACTTTTGCTCATTCAGGCATTTTAAAAACAAACACATTTTAAAGGTTTTATTACTCATCTCTAGGAAGAACTAGCCAGAAGCAGATACCTGGAGAAATTATAAGGATTCCTGAAATCTTAATTAGATTCTCTCAGCAGGTCCACAATCCATTCTCTTTAATTTCGAAAACAAAAAGCTCTGAACGCCCCAAACTGACCTGACATAGGCTGTTTATAGTCTGAGTATGTGTACCATTTACTGTAGGAATAATACTGTTGTTTATGGGGTGCTGCTCCTGTACCTTGCAGAAGTGTATATGATGTATGTATTACTTTTCTACAGTCCGTAAAATTCTGATCTGAAACGTATCTGGCTGCAAGGGTTTCAGATTAGGGATTGTGGACCTTTACTGTATAATAATGATAGACATATTGTCCCCTTACAGGGATCTCACCATGTGAATCTTAGAGTCACAAAGCATAGTACTAGGAAATGCCCTTAGAGATCATTGCCACCCTCTTTCACATACTAGGTGTACCAGTTAATAATGCGGATTTTTTTCAATAGATGGAGTTACACATATGTTGATATATATGCTATTTTGTTGTATTGACAGCAAGCTTCAAAACTTCATATGTCAAATTTGCTGAAGGTGTTAACATCATAGATATTTTTACGCTTAAAAATGTCAAATTTCGTGCCAAAAAAGAGCATTAGCGGGAAGTTTTAATTACTTTATTTTGAAGAAAAGTGCTGCTGAATATTTGGGGAAGCTTATGGTGAGCATGCTCCATTTCAAGATACTTGTGAATGCTGGTGTAAATGCTTTCAAAGTGATGATTTCGATATGAAAGACAAAGAATGACCAGGTCAACTGGAAAGGTTTGAAGACCAACAATTACAAGCATTATTGGATGAAGATGTGTGTCAAACTCAAAAACACTTGCAAAAAGAGTAAATGTTGCTCAGCAAACAATTTCCGATCATTTACAAGCAATGGGGAAGATTTTAAAGGAAGGAAAATGGGTGCCACATCAACTGAACGAAAGACAAATGGAAAACCGAAAAGTCATCAGTAAAATGGTGCTTCAACGGCACTAAATAAAGTCTTTTTTTGCATCGAATTGTGACTGGTGATGAAAAGTGGATTTATTTTGAGAATCCCAAATGCACAAAATCATGGGTTGATCCAAGTCAACCATCAACATTGACTGCATGGCCAAATCGCTTTGGAAAGAAGACAATACTCTGCGTTTGGTGGGATCAGGAAGGTGTGGTGTATTATGAGCTTCTAAAACCAGGTGAGACCCTTAATACTGATCGCTACCGACAACAAATAATTAAGTTGAACCACGCTTTGATCGTGAAACAACCAGAATGTGCCAGAAGACATGGCAAAGTAATTTTGCTTCATAATGACACACCATCACACACTTCAAAACCAGTTAAAGACACGTTAAAAGATCTTGCCTGGGAAGTATTAACCCACCCGTTGTATTCACCAGACCTTGCTCCTTCAGATTACCACTTGTTCCGATTGATGGCACATGCACTTTCCGAGCAGCACTTCAAAACATACAAAGAAGTGGAAAATTGGGTCTCTGAATGGTTTGCCTCAAAACAAGAAAAGTTCTGTTGGGACGGAATCAGATTACATGAAAGATGGGGGAAATGTGTAGCTAGCGATGGACATTACTTTGAATAAAGCACTTTTGATGTTTCTCTTGAAATTATCGTCTTTTCTTTGATTACAAAATCTGCCATTATTAACCGGTACACATAGTACAGATGTAATAACAATGACATGCCCTGCTTGAGGGCGCAAAATTCTTAGCTAACTTTGATTACAGAGAGTCATTACTGGTTTTCCCAGTGGGACATGGGGAGAAGGGACAAGAAATAGTCCTAGCACTTTGTTTCTATTTCCCTCCATTATTTCTTTTCTTAGCCATCCCAGGTAATTCGATTTTATCAGAAGGAACTCCCATATTGTCCTCAAAAGCAACATAGGGGAGCTGGGGCATTGGAAGGGGAAGGTGAGGAGTATCATTGGATAAACTGGGGATGCTAAGGGCTCCTCTCACCTGGCAAGCGTGGTGTTCTGGGGATGGAGCTGCCTTCTAAGTGTGGGTTGCATATAATAGCCCCTTAAGAATGAGCTTATTAAAATCTCATTTGTATATAGACTCTGAGATGTTGTTGGGGTGAGAAAGGCAGAGCCAGGTAAATAAAGGGGTTCCCATACTTTTTTCATCCTTGGTTTATTTTATTTCTAGGGTGCAAATAGCTATGGGCAACTTGGCCTTGGCCATAAGGAAGACGTGTTTTTGCCCCAACAACTGAATGACTTCTGTAAACCTGTGTGTGTCAGGAGGATCGCGGGAGGAGGGGGCCACTCTGCTGTTGTCACAGGTAACTTTCTTTCAAGAGTACATAGCCCCTTGTTTTCTTAGATATTTCCCCCTAGGATGTTATATTATCATCTTTCAGCCTTTTGTATTTTGCAGAGGAAATCATTTTGGTAAAAGAGCCAAGTTGTTATCAGAGAATCCTAGATTGTTAGAGCTGAAAGAACTTCAGAGATTTGGGCTCTCCTGAAACTCCCACCTCCCTCCCCCTCTTCCTATCTCATTACACAAATGAGGCTCAAAGAAGAAAACTGATTGCTTAAGATTATAAGACATATTTGTGGCAGAGTTGTAAAATATGTCACATTTTATACCATAGATTGCTACTTAACTTTCGCATATGCGTTAGGAGTCTGCAATTAGCTTGTATATTCCTTGAGAGCAAGAACTTTGCATTTTCCTTAATTTCCCTTGAAATAATTAGGATAGAACTTAACAAGTACTACAAGTGCTACAACATTGTGAAAGAGGGCATAGTGCATCCTGGTGAAAAACGCAAACTCTGGGTTCAAGCCCTGGTTCTGTTATTTATTATCTGTATGGCCTTACAGCAGTGGTTGGCAAACCGAGGCTTGCGAGCCACATGTGGCTCTTTGGCCCCGTGGCATGGGCCACGAAGTTTCAATCGCAGTGTACGTCCGTGCCCGCATGTGGTATTTTGTGGAAGAGCCACACTCAAGGGGCCAGTTTGCCGACCACTGCCTTAGAGAAATTACTTAATTCCTCTGTGTCAGTTTCTTCTCTATTCCATGGGGATACTAATGGTGGATAAAAAGAACCAATGAATTAACGGCTGCATTTTATGGGTCCTTGGCACTTTTGGACCCATAAAGAAATATTAAAAATTATATTTTACAGCTGTATTGATGTAAAGATTAATATAATCCAGGCTAGTTTAAGTATTATATATTCATTATTATTACATTTATTTTTCTGATTTTTTTTAAAGTATATTTTTAGTGATTTCAGAGAGGAAGGGAGAGGGAGAGAGAGAGAGAAACATCAATGGTGAGAGAGAATCATTGATTAGCTGCCTCTTGCATGGCCCCCACTGGGGATCAAGCCTGCAACCCAGATATGTGCCCTGACTGGGAATCAAACTCTGATCTCCTGGTTCATAGGCCATTGCTCAACCATTGAGCCACACCAGCTGCAGTTTTTCTGATTTTAAAAGAATTCAAAATTAAAACATTTTTTGTGGGCCTCTAAAAGTATTGTGGGCCCTAGGCCCTATGCTTGAAGGATTAGTTGGCCCCTCACAGAAACCTCTTAGAACAATACTTGGCACTGTCCAAGTGCAGAATAGATTTGGCTTTATTGTTATAGCAGGTGCTCAATTTAGTGATTAGTTGGCCACTACTCTAGCACTTGGAGTTTCCATTTAGATACTAGATTTGAGTCCCTTAGCCTAATGCCATTTGGTTCAGTGCACATTAACATACGTGGCTTATTAATGTGGGTGGGAAAAGATCTTTGGCAGTTGTAATTTCCCCTGTGCACACTATCAACAAAGCCTTTGTATTTTACAGATGGAGGAAGCCTTTTCGTTTGTGGCCTGAACAAAGATGGGCAGTTGGGGCTTGGTCACACGGAGGATGTCCTATATTTTACACCCTGCAAATCCCTCATTGGCTGTCCCATCCAACAGGTGGCCTGTGGCTGGGACTTCACCATTATTCTCACAGGTGAGTTCACTGCTAGGGGAATCTTTGTCACCACAAAGGCTTTGAGTGAGAAGTATACAATGGTGGTGATGCTGATTAAATGAAAGCCTCTTTGGGTTTAAAACATACACACAAATGTTCTCTGTGGTTGTCAAAGAAAGTTATGAGGTGTCTTTTGCAAGGAGAGTTTAAACAGTAAAACTTTGGGCAGGAAAACTTTTAAAAAATATATATATTTTTATTGATTTCAGAGAGGAAAGGAGAGGGAGAGAAACATTAGTGATGAGAGAGAATTATTGATTGGCTGCCTCCTGCACCCCCCTCCTGGGGCTCGAGTCCGCAACCCAGGCATGTGACCTTGACCGGAATCGAACCCGGGACCCTTTAGTCTGCACGCTGATGCTCTATCCACTGAGCCAAACCGGCTAGGGCTGAGCTGGTAAACCTTTGCCAGAGACTGGGGAATGAAATAGATCACCTTTGGTGGCCACTTCCTGTACCAGAAGTTTATGATAGCTGCACGGCTGGGCTAGGTGGGCAGGAGTGCCAGCTGCGGTTACTCACAGGGGAACGTAGTTGCTACAACAGTGATGGTAGCTTTCCCCTTGCAAAATATGAATATGATTGGACAGAACTGTTCTGTTTCTGTGAAGCCAGATAGCAGAATAGGATGTAGAGGGATAGGGGCTAAGAGTTAATAGAATACAGTTGGTCCTCTGTATCCGCAGGTTTCACATCTGTGGATTCAACCAACTGCTGATCAAAAACCGAATACCGAATGGTACATGTTGTTCTCTGCCTGGAACAGCCCCTCTCTTGTCTCTCTGGTGAACTCTTGTCCTGTCATTACAGCCCTGCTAGGGTGTCTCCATCTCTCTTCTATGGAGGGGTTCTGTACTGTGTGTTGACTATGGTAGTAATTATTAGAATCTAAATAATAGCTATCATTTATGTAGTATGTACAGTGTTTTCAATCAATGATTAGGAATTCAAGAATGCAAAGGGCCAACTATATGCATTGTCCCATGCTATTTTATATAAGGGACTTGAGTATCCTCAGATTTTGGTATCTGCAAGGGGTCCTGGAACCGATCCCCTGCAGATACTGAGGGACCACTGTAATGCTCTTGGGAATCAGTTGACAATAAATACTTTATCAGCTGACTTCTCGCTGGAAGTATTTTTGCCCCATTTAGCTGGCCATTAGGATTCAAAGGACCATCTGTAATTTCTGACTAAAGTCCCTCTTTGTCACAGTTCTCTGGCAACAGCATCTTCTGACCATGTAACCCCACCAACCCCAGCCTTGCCTCAAACCCCTGTGGATTCTCACATGCATAGCTCACATCCCAAGCTTTTTAGCACATGGCCTTCAATTATTGTTCCCCACCTACTCCTGTTGTTGCCTTGGCTCTTATTCTCCTCATTCCCTTTACTTTTCTTTCTCATAATACCGAATGGTACATGTTGTTCTCTGCCTGGAACAGCCCCTCTCTTGTCTCTCTGGTGAACTCTTGTCCTGTCATTACAGCCCTGCTAGGGTGTCTCCATCTCTCTTCTATGGAGGGGTTCCGTACTGTGTGTTGACTATGGTAGTAATTACTAGAATCTAAATAATAGCTATCATTTATGAAGTGCTCATTATGGGCCTGTGTTTTGGTTTTAGGGAGTCATAGATAACACTCTGTTTCCTTTCATATTTGGAACCAATTGTGAAAAAGGTATAGAGACAGGTGGAGATCAGACTATTGGCTTTTTACTGATAAAGGCTAATTTGGAGGACAGGGTTCATTGTCAGGCCAAGCTGTTCTTTGATCCAAATTTATCCCCAAAACTCTAGGCCTTCCCTACAGTGGAAATCCTTACTATGTGTCAGCCCAGAGTGCCTGCGAGGAAGGTGCCAAGCCACACGTGTTCTGTTCTTTCCTTCTCCCAAACTCACCAACTGGTTAGGTTACCCCTCGTCCGCTAGAAAGCAGTGAGTATGGGAAAGGCAAGGAGAAAGGTCTGAAGTGTTAAAATAATGGAAATTGTGTTGTTATATGGAAACATGAAAAGTGGGGAATAAGTATCCTTCTATCGCACAGTGGGCCCTGGGCTGTGTTCCACACAGCTAATCTGTCACAGTTGGCAGTGTGAGGGATAGTCTGTGTAAGGCAGCCATGCCCAGGGTTTTTATTCCTAGAGCAACAATGAAAGCAGGGACCATGGTTTGAATGTGCCGAAACACAGGGCCCTCACTCCTTTCATTCCCTTGGCTCCTTCAGTGTTTACCCATTGGTCACAGATCTCTTACTACTTAGATTGTGACTTAAGTGTTTGTATTTTGCAGAAAATGGTCAGGTTCTATCATGTGGATCCAACTCCTTTGGCCAATTAGGAGTTCCTCATGGGCCTGGAAGATGTGTGGTTCCCCAGGCCATTGAGGTAAGGACATCACCTGATACGCACCTTGCTGTGTCCTGTTAAAGAATTTCCAGGGTATTACAGTTATTCCTCCACAGACGGGCTGGGTCCCTGAAAGCTGAAAAACAGTTTTTTCTGGGAAAAATTATCTTGGGGGCATGAAGGTTGTGAGTGGAAAAAAAACACCACACCCTCTGTTGATCCTCATACACTTTATACATTTTTGTGGAATAAAATAATAAAGGTTATATGTCTTATAAAGACATTAATGACTTTTTATAATTCTAAAATTAGTAATCATGGGAACTATGTTAGAAATTGGTCCAGATAGAAGTGACTTACCTATCTATAGACACTAAATTAGGCAAATGGTATAAGCCAGTGTTGTCTAATAGAAATATAATGTGAGCCATATATGTAATTTAAAATTTTCTAATAGCACCATTTAAAAAATAAAGAGAAATGGGTGAGATTAATTTTTGAAATAACAACTTTATTGAGATGTAATTTACATACCATAGCATTTACCCTTTAAAAATGTATGGTTTAGTGTTTTTTAGTATTTTCACAGAGATGTGCAGTCTTCACCATGATCTAATTTTAGAACATATTCATTACCAGGAAAGAAACTGTGCACCCAATAGCAGTCACTTCTTATTCTCCCCTCTCCTCCCCTTGACAACTACTAATCTATCTCTATGGATTTGCCTATTCTGAGCATTTCATACAAATGAAATTATACGATAGGTGGCCTTTCTTTTTTTTTTTAATGTGTGGCTTTTTATATCTGACTTCTTTCACTTCACGTGATGTTTTCAAGTTTTATTCATGTTGTGGTATGTAGGCAAAATTAATTTAAATAGCTTTTAAATTAATCCAATGTATCCAAACTATTATCATTTCACTTTATATGTCATTAATATATACATTTATTCATGAGATATTTTGTATTCTTTATTTTATACTAAGTTGAACTCTGGTGTACATATTTATGTCTCTACTCAATCTAGTCACATTTCACTTGTTCAGTAATCACACGTAGCTAGAGGCTGCCATATTGAACAGCTTGAGTATAGAACAAGACTCCTGGCCCTAGTTCAGAACTCTTCACTGCATCTTACTTAAGATGTATAAATTTTGGTGCAGTTTATAGTGTAAGTGATCATAATAGGACTGGAATATTTTAAGAGAAATATGCTGGGATCCAAAATGAGTTTTGCCACCTAAGCTGCTCCACTCCTGTCTAATTTCCTGAAACTCTGACTCAGCGTGGGAGATCTATTTTCAAGGGAGAGAGCTTGGTCTGCTTCTGTCATCTGCTGAATTACAATTCCTGGTCTGCGGGGTATTACTTGGGTCATGGTTTCCATGGTGCTTTAGTCTGTTTGGGCTGCTATAACAACATACCATAGACTGGGTGGCTTAAACAACAGGCATTTATTTCTCATGGTTCTGAAGGCTGGGAAGATCAAGGCACCAGCAGATTGGGAGTCTGGTGAGGGCCCACCTCCTGGTTCACAGACAACCGTCTTCCTGCTGTGTCCTTTCATGGCAGGAGAGGCAGAGGAGCTCTCTGGGATCTTTTTTTTCTTTTAATCCTCACCCGAGGATATTTTTCCATTGATTTTCAGAGAGAGTGGAAGGGAGGGGGAGAGACAGAGAGAGAGAAACATCGATGTGAGAGAGACACGTTGATTGGTTGCCTGCCGCACGTGCCCCGACTGGGGCCGGGGATTGAGCCTGCAACCAAGGTACGTGTGCCCTTGACCAGAATCAAACCTGGAATCCTCAGTCTGAGGGCCAGTGCTCCAACTCCTGAGCCAAACCAGCTAGGGCTGAGAACCTATTTTTAAAACCACCCCAAGACATATTGGAGAGGACATCCCTTCACATATTTGGAAAGCATCATCAGAAGCTGTAGCAGGTAGGTTTGGCTTCACCTAAGGAGATAAATGGAACAGTGCACAGATGGAGCAGGTGCCTGGGGAGGTGGTGAGTCCATGTGTCTGGAAGTAGGTGTTTGGCAGGGGTTGGATGGGGATTGGATTAGATCCAAGGTCTGCAAACTAGAACCCTTGGTAAATAAAGTTTTATTGGAACACAGCCACACCCATTTATTTATGGCTTTTATGTTACGGTGGCAGAGGAGAGTAGTGTGACAGAAACCATATGGCCTGCAAGGTCT